AATAGCAATACTGGGACTTTTAAAACCTTGGGTTTCTGGGATTTTTCTAAAAATGAAATTTCAACTCATAATTTAATCCCAAAATAACAAGATGGAAAATGACTGGTAATTACAATGCCTGTTAGAGTGTCATATAGTGGGTGAAGTAAATTTGAGGAAATGTGCATGTTCTCATAATAGCCTTTAATTTTATGTAAACTTACCTCTTAACCTCAACTCTCTAGTCTCAGTAAGCTCATTGGTATTTCAGAAATCAAAGTGGCGTCCTTATAGGGTCAGAAAATGAAAGTTTTTGCTCTAATAAAAATTACCTTAGTTCAGTAAGAAACTCATATATATATATATACTTACATAAATATATATATATTTTTCCAAATGCCTAATTTACACATTGAATTACAGACTGTGTGAAACAAGGACTTTCTCTAGGAGACTTTATTCATTCAAGAAAATCACTTGTGAAAAATACCACAGCCAAACACTTACCTGGCAAATACTTGACAAATTAAATAAAAATAAGTTCAAGTCCAAATTCAGAATTTTTCTACAGTTCTTTCAGATTGGAGTGTACAATCCATATGCAGGAATGGACTTGGTGTCCTTTGGATTGGAAAATGTTGATATCTGATAGAAGAGGCTCTGAATGACAAGCTGAACACATCCCAGTGTGTCTGGGCTACATTCCAATTTTTGACAATATAAGTGCTTTTCACTTAATCTAGCAACACCTCCACAAAATGTGTAGCTGGACCATTTTAAAAACATCCTTTATATGGTTCTGACACGTATTCCTACCTCTTGAATCCATTGCCATTACTTTCTTAAGCCTCTGATTCAGTTGCTTTTTTTATTCTTGTACTTGTGATTATAAAGCAGTGACAGGCATATCTCCAAATACTCAGGGGTCAGCCTCAGTTCAAATAAGCATCCAAAAGGGTAGATATTAATCTGAAGGAACTACATACACTTTTAAGACAGTCTCTGAAACCCATTCTCCTTACTGGTATCAGGTTTTTGATAGTAGAAATAAATTTCAGGACTTAAAACTGAGTTGAAGAGTTTTAGCTTATTTTAGGACATATCGATAAAAAGAAACTAAAAATCCAGGTCACCTTGCTTAGAAAATGTGCTGAGATTTTTTTTCCTATCTTCCTTTCTTCAACTAGTTCGTGGACTAAACTATTCTGGGATATCTGTTTAAGTCTTCCTACTGCTGTGAAAATAAAGGAGCAAAGCTAAATAAATTGTTTTATTAATGTAAGGCAGAAGACAGATAAAATAGTATAGATGAAAAGATATCTGTGTCTTGAAAACTAATTATGACTATTTAAAATTGCCTGAAATGCTAAGTCTCCTCTAGAACAACACAGAAAATGTTTTAGAATTTTTTTTGTCATAAATGACAAGAAACCAAAAAAAACAAATAAAAAAAAAAGTTCTTCAACAGAAAATCTGCCAGCAGACTTATTTAGGCCAAAAAAATTTAGAAAAAAAATTTTATATAGGAAGTTGACTTCTAAATCAACAGATAACTTTAAAGATGTTTTTTCTACAGTATTTATTTTGATATGTGTTTGGTAGAGACTGCTGCTAGCATAAATGTATAAACTGCAGTTTTCATTTGTGTTTCCTCTTAAATTAATTCTTAAATATTTGTTAAGGCCGTATATATTGCACTAAGCTGTCTTTAGTATGTAAGAATTTCTAAATTCCTTTTAGAAAAGTTATTAGGGACAGATCTTATACACAGCACATATGGACAATGTGCTGTAAGTCAGGGTATAATTGGAAAAGATTTTTAAATGGCCTTTTTTCACTGCTTTGTTGCTAATAATGATCAGAGTGTAACCATATTATTTAGAGAAGCAGTCTACCCTAAGGGTTCTGCCAGCCTGTACTGTTCTCTAATAGTGACCTTAAGCAGAAAGTTCACTACAGATTGGTGTGGCAAAGCAAAGGGGGATCAGTTTTCAACCCCTTTTGTATTTATATTAGTTCAGGAACTGTAAGGAGTTCCAAGAACATCAGCTCTTGCCACATCATTGTTCTTGTCTAACTCAGTTTAAAAGGATATAGAAAGAGATGGCAGAGGCAGCATTGTGCAGGTGCAAAATTCACCGCATCTGTTACTTGGGTGCCTCTACCTTTCTTCATCACTGCTTTTGCTTGAAGTCACAGGTTCTTCTCCCATATGGAAACTCTTTTTTTTCCCCTGCTTTATATTGCTTCCCTATGCCTTCCTTAACACACCTCATCCATTTCATAAAAATTTGCGACTTCAAACACTCTGTTTTCTTCCCATCAGGTGCCAAACTCTATATATAAGGCAATGTTGTTGGTGATTCAGGCTTAAAGATACAGTCAGGTTGTATTAGCTTAACAAACTGTTATCAGCTGAACTGTGCTTCTCTGTCCATGTCTGCTGTAAGGTAATGCAGTGTATCACACACTTGAACACAAGGGGATGCCTTGCATGACCTCACACTGACGGTGACAGTAGCTCAGCTGATGTGCCCTGTGCTGTTTTATTGCTGCAAGCCAGGGGTAGGGCCCTCTATTAGTGAAATGGAGAAGGCTTGAAAGGAAGAATTTTAGCACACCCCCACAGGAAGCGTCTTAAAAATTAGTACCAGGAACAAAAGCTAACACCAGCCATAGCCCTGCACCCCCACACCACGCACACGCACACACACTCATCTAAGCTCTTCAAGAGTAAGAGAGGGCAGGGGTATAGGCTAGACAGTTGGTGTCCCTTCAATGAGAATAGTTTTGCTGGGGTCACATGAATGAAAATTGTGACGTGCACAGCAATTTACATGAAATTATATATACAGTTTGTCTTCCCTAAGTTCCAGCTCTGGATAAGGATTCAGGAGCTGATATCTTTATTTGATTCAGTTTATGGGATGCTTTGAAGGGGTTGGGCGAGAGCAGAAAAAAAAATAAATTTCAGGAGACAAAAATTAAACCAAATAATTAAATCCCAATCTTTGTTCACAAGGTCTTTTTTTGAAGCTACCTAAAGAAACTCCACTGCATTCTTCTCCTTTATGTGGTTGTTAATGCTGCTTTCAGATAGGAGAGGGAAGGAGGTAGTATAATGTAAGATTTAATTTTGGACTGTATCATAAACCAGCTTTCATAAAGCCCAACAACAGTTAAGTGGTTCATTACATTTTAGAGTGTCTGATGTAAATAAGGTCCCTGAGCGTGTGTGATCAGTCTTTCCAAGGGCCAAAATATTTTGCTGTTCCCAAGCTTGATTTCCTTGTTCAGACTGAAAAAGCTCAGCCCACATGCATTTAGAAACTGACTTGAATTTTAATTTTATTCTAATGGCTAACTGTGTCTGCTGTGGTTATCTGACTCTAATTCCCCCAAAGAAGGCACTTTGCTTCTGTAGAAACACTCTGGAAATTTTATAAGGTTATTGACCAAATCAGAAATGTGAAGTCAAGTAAGTCAGAGTTGCTATACTCAATGTATGAGATGCAGAATTTATTCTATTGCCAGTTATCCAAAGAGGAGGAAAGACACATTTACAAACTTCTGCAGAAGACATTATATAAGTGGTAACTAGCCCCTTTTATTTGACCATACTTATTTACAGCCCACATTGTTCAACTACCATTGTCACTTACTGCTTACTTCACAACTCTGTGGAGCAAGGAGGCATCTTAGTTTGTAAAGCAGAAGTTACAAGGATAGAACCATTCTGTCTTTATTTTAATATTGTAACATTTTTATGTATGAGAGGGCATTTTTCAGTGGTATTGAAAACCGAACTCCTTTTGTGATCCATTTATTTTGTCTGTGCATGTCAAACAGTTTCTCTCTCATTCTGTTTTTTTTTTTTTAAAAAGACACCTTAATATTAGGAAAAGGGTGTATGATGACTTTTGACTAGAGCTTTCACTGACCCCAGTGTGATTTCAATGCATAGAATTCTTAATTTTTATTTCTTCTTATTTAGTTTAAAAAGAATAAAAACGATGTCAGAGCCACTTTCAAAGTCATAGCTGAGTTATACACATTTGCTCCCAGCATCCAAGGAAAAACGATTCCAAAGTTTGAGTGTTCAGTATGGAGTAGAAGTGACAGAACAGTTTGTGAGTGGAGAACATTGTATAAAGCTATTTAAAGGTTGTCCTCGACCTTTCCACCTCTTTTAAAGCCTCATGAGACAGATTTAAACTTCTCTTCTGCCAGTTGCCTACTGTCAGTTCCATACTTGTGTTTGTTCTCTCCATGCTATGGATGTAAAGTATCAGAGCACATTATGGGGAGAACTTCCAAATCCTCTTTTAAACTCTTGTCTGAGAAAGAGACCTCAGATTCAGCCAGGTCAACCTTGGCACTTAAAGTTCACATAAATGCTTTTGTTTCCTTGATCTCCTCTTAAGCCAGCTTCTTACAGGTGGTGGATTGAAATCTGACCTCTATAAAGACAGTGAAAGTTTTCTTATTGGCACTGATGAGTCCAAGATTTTAAATACTATTTATATGTGAATTTTCTTCTGAGATACATATGTGGATACATATATATCTGTATCTATGCAATTGGTTCATGTAGCTGTTGGTGCTCACATCTGGCTAGTTTGGAGATGTCATCGTATGTGTTTGTGTCAAAATTGGTGTAATACGTGGAGCATTAGCCTTTACTTCACGTTCAAGTGAGGTGGCAACATTTAATACAAAGATGGAAAGTAAGAGCACAGCTGATCTGAAGAAATTTGAAACTTCAAATTTCATCAATTCAACACAATTTCATCATCAGTGAAATAGCACCTTATTATTGCAAAATCTGCCTTCACTATATGCTCCTGTAACCATTGTTCTCTTGTAGTCTAAACACAGTAAATACAGTGATTGCTGGAAATAGTTTTAGATAATTGTTAATGTATTTATGGTAACTGTACCTATCTCTCAACTATATCACCTCTAGCAATGCAAAGTGCTAACTGAAACAAACTTTTTTTTCTTTATTCCTTCCTTTGAAGACAAAGACAGGGGTTTGTTTGCTGCAGGATGGTAACCAGGAGCCTTTCAAAGTGCGACTGCACTTAGCCAAAGATATTTTGATGATCCAGGAGCAGGATGTGATCTGTGTGTCTGGTGAGCCTTTCTATTCTGGTGTAAGTAGTTTTTATTTCTTCTTTAAGATGTTCTTTACAAAACAAAAAAATAGTGTGTACATGTGTGCAAGTGCATATACACATATGTATGCATTTACTCCCATGGTTTGCTATTTCATTTTATACTGTTAACACCAAGTGTGTTTTAATATATCATCTTTTGCAAGTAAATATTAGCAGTATTCATCTAAAGCAGCAATAAGATGATAAATTATATGTGTGAGTATGGTATTGTTTCTCTTAACTCACCCTTGGGTACTGGAGCAATTGAATGCAGGAGAAATGACATGAGCAGTGGTTTTTGCAGGGAGTACAGATACCTCCATGTACTTAGGTATCTGAGCCTGTGGAGTTGATAAGATAGTTGTGGCAGGGCTTTGCTGGTAGAGGAATTATCTTCTATCCTCTGTTGCTTTGATTGCTTCCTATGGTAGCACAGCACTAGATTTCATGCGTGCTGTGAGGGTCACTAGTTTTACCAGCACATCATGGATGGAACAGTAATAGTGTGTTTTATGTATTACTGTTTTTACATGATGTGTCAGATTTCTGATTTAAGCACCATATTGAATCTTGTGCATAAGAAGCTGAGCTTTGTAGACAGTTATTTGGAAGATGTGTAAATTTTTATATAATTTTTATATATTGTAGGTTTTAGTACTATTGTAATGGTAAGTTTTAATTTAATATGAAGAGATAGCTAAAAAATAATAGAAACCATTTAGCATTCATTTCTATAGACTTTTATAGATACTGTAATTATGTTTTGTAGAGATATTTTTAAGATTTATGGGAAACTATCATAAACATTCTGCTATTCCTTTGAGCTAAATAAGATTATCATAGGATTTTATGTTAAGTCTTGTGAGGCGTAGTAGTGTAATATCTGTGTATGCAAATGTTATGTGAATGTTATTATGTCTGTCTGTTTTATTATTTAATTGCTGCTGTTATCACACACCTATATCTCTAAAAACAAGTAAAATAAAAAGAAACAAAGCAGAAATAAGAAATAAATTGGTAGAATGTTAGCAGTTCTAACAGTGTGGAAGATTAATGGAAAATATATCAAATAATCTATCTCAGGATTATGAATATCTCCAGGTGAAAGTTTCAGAGCTTTTGTCTGAAACAAGAGGAAGACACTGCCTACACTGTCTCCATACAATCTGGGTTTATTTGCATGACAAATCTGACATTAGCTTTTGACCATTTCACGCTGTACAAATACTGTTTACTAACACAGGTCTGTGTCCTTTATGTGGAGTATATACGCTTCTTTTACCAATCAGAATGTGCTGTTCCTAAATAGAGGGGACATCTAACAGCCAGCATAGAAAGAAGTTATGAGTTGAAGCTCAAGTTGTAGTAGTTCAATTAGCAACATACACAGCGGCGCCATTATTCCACTAACACCATTCAGGCATTATTTAATAAAAGATTTTATCACTCAGAAATACAACTTTCATTATTCTGCTGTAATATCTGTTACTCTGCTGAACTTGTTATTTAGATGTCTTCATGAAATGCATATTAATTTTTTTTCCTTTTCACAGTAAGGCTTTCTCTTACAGTTTTGCCCTCTTTAACTTTGCAAAGGCTCTGTGGAAAAGAGTGGATTATTTGCTTCACCAATTAAACTCCCTCATATTATTTTCATATTGAATTCATAACTCATAATCTGTTTGATATTACTGTGATGATGAGAAGTTTCTTTTTCCTGGAAGTGTCATTGTTAGACTACTGACTTTTCAGTCCTTCACCCTGATTTCCTCTGGGATTAAGACTAGGTTTTGTAGCAGTAAATCCATTCCAACTAAGGATGATTGGCATTTCACAAACAGTTAGCCCTACTTTTGTCACAGATAATTTAAATAATCTGGTATCATGTGCTTTGATTGTATGCTATAATCAAACAAGCCCCACAGGCTTCTTTTTTTTTTTTTTTTTGCTGATTTTCCTCATTTTTATTCCTGATTTATTAGATTTATTTGTTTTTCTTATATTTTACTTTATTTGGGTAATTTTGTTTTATTCTTTCTGTCATTCTAGATAAGTGACCACATTTATTTTTTTTTTACCTGAATTCTACAAAGCAAATATTTTCATTAGCAACTGGCACCGAATGCCTCAGAGAATAAACTCTAAAACATAAAAAAAAATTGTAACTGAGAAATGATAGTATTGTTAAGTTTTACAGACAAGTAGCTACAATAAGAATTCTTTTAAATCTGTTTTAATAAATAACCTTCAAATAATTTGATTATAAGGTTTTTCTTTATCACTTCTGCACTGGTATGGAAGGAAAGGCTGTTACTGTGTTTCTAGTTCAGAACAGTATCTCTTCTGTTCGTTGAGTCTGAATCAATTTGCATGCTTCTCTGTGTAGGACAGACTTTAAACAGGCACTTAGCGTTCCAGCAGCATCCTGATTTGTATCCTGTGGAATAATCTAAATGAAGTCAATGGCTCCTTAGGAATGAAGTGCTGTTTAATGTGAGTGCATGGGATAAGGACCTAGTTCTTAATTTAGAATGCTTCCCTTTTGATGGAAGACAGTTCTAGTTTCCAAAACCTTGTTTATTCTTTCATTGTGTGAAGTTTGGAGTAAGAAAATAAAATGCATAAAAGATTATAAGCAACAGTGTTAAACACTAAAAAATAAAGCATCTCTTTCTTTAGTAGGCTGAATGAAATTATGGTGTTAGTGAGGGTCCTGCAGCAATTGTGCCTATAACAATTCCGTAAAGCAACAACGGTAATTCAAACCATCATGGATTAGATCAAAATTTGGGCATCAGTTGCATCAATAAGCGTTAAATAGATTTCTTTCTGTATGCAACAAGAAAGACTTGCTTTCCAAGAGAAAGAAGCATGGTGAGGTCAGCATTATGCTGTTAGTGGACATCTGATGTAGTTTTAAACTCCAGTGCAAACAACCAAAAGTGAGATGAGAACACTTAGTGAAACTCAAAGCCTAGAAGGCAGTGTCATTACAAAACCAGATTAAATCCTTGCCTGTACAAAGGCTTTATAGTACGGGAAATGTATGCCTGAATTGGAGTAGCTTGTGTTCTGAAGATATCCATGAGTCTGCCTGTGGAAAAAATGGAAGATAAGACTAGTGTCTGTCAGGTCTGGTATACCTTTTTCTCCCCTAAAAAACTGGACACATATTTAAATTTTTGAGACTTCTTGAGAGTAAATATTTTTTATCTGTTACACTGGATCATTGTCTTTTGAGAATTATAAATTTTTTTTTTATATGTTTTGTTGTTGGTAAAAGAAGTTCAATTAACATTAGCAATTTTAATGAATAGAAATAGAAGAAAAAAGTGAAAAGCTTAAAATAATAAATAATGGGTTTGATTTATTTACTGTATTGTCTTTATTTACATTTTTGATTCTGATGTGTGGTTGAATATTATAAACGATGTCAAAACGAAACTCCCTGTCTTGGAGAGAATTGCAAATATGTGGACAGATAGGTCACTTTTCAAGCACTTTCCATTCTTGTTACCCTCACAAAGCTAGCAGTAAGAATCTTTGGGGGTTTTTTTATCATGTTGGTATCTGTCAGCTATTCAGTGGAGTGAATCCATTTTTTCACAGAAGTCGTCAAACATCTATCAGATGGGGGTAACTTTTTTTTTTCCTGCCAGTCTGGGCAGCTTTAAAGTGACAACCTGACAGATGTAAATATGATTATTTAGGGAAAGCCTAAGGTGGCTTATTTTTTTGCAGCTATTTAAAAGTAAAAAGCATAGCAATCAACTGAGGTTCAAATTGCATTTTATAATGGCAAATATGAAAGAGAATAATAACTTTTCCTAGTGTGAGTTCAGATCCATACTGACTTCGGGTTTATAGTTTGTGTTTTGTTTTGTTTTTTTTTTTCTCTTTTATTTATTTCTTGAGAAATGCAGCACTTCTGAAATAAATCAGTCCTAGGACTAGAAATTTTATAGTAAATATTTAGGAGAATGTTTCAGTTTTTAAGCATATGCTGCAAGAATGGGAATATTTTGAAGTGAGAACAAGCAAAAGGATGAGTGCTTTTGGTTATTCCAGCCAGTACACCGCTGTATTTACCATCCTCAGTCTTCAGCACAGCTGTAGAGGAAGGGGGACTTCCAGTTGACCATTCATTCTGCTGTCATCCCTTACTGCCAACCTTCTCCAGTTGCATGAGGAACTGAAATAATGAGACAAACTTCAAATGTCACATGATGGAAGTTAGCAGATGAGCAAGTCTGCTGGCAAACCTTGTTAACACTATTAATTCAACTTGGAAATGTGACTGACCTGTCCTCTGTCCTTTACAGTCAGAATGAGTATAAAGTTTAACTGCTCGTGTAAATTAATCCAAAGAAATGTCAGTAAGAAAGAGCAAAGCATTACCAAAAAGAGGATATAAGATCTTGAAAATGTACGCAGTAATTAAATGAAAGGAAAAAAATTCTAATTATATTCTTTCAAAATGTAGTGGGATTACTACTGATAAACTACATAAGAGCATGGCCTTAAAGATATTATGGCATCAAATGTTAACAGGTTGATCTATGAAGTTGCTGTCAATGTGTTAATTTTATCTTTATAATACTGTATTTTAAAATTTATGTTCTAACATTTTCTTCCTTTTTTTCCCTACATTTTTCTGTGTCACTCTGCTATTGTAGATTCCTCTCCTGTTCCTTTTTTCTCACCTACTATTTTGTGCACACATTCAGCTTTTTATCAGTTTTTTTCCATACAAGTAATACCTTGGTGTCTGTTCTATCCACAGTGAAAAGAGAGGTCTTGTTTTCTGTCTGGACCTAGACAAATTTATTCTTCAAACCTTTACTCTTATAAGAACAATACCAGACATACCAGATGAATAACCGCACACTGGGAAACCAGTGTCCCTAACTGAAAATATAAAATTTATATTCTAGGAAAAAAGTTGAGTAATGGCATATTTAAGTTTCACATGCAGTTAGTTCAGTTTTATGAAGACTTTTAAAGTTTCTTCATCCTTTTCAACTTTTCCTTGACTTCTTTCATAAGGACACATTATTAGATTATTATATCACATTAGATGACTGCTTTATATTACAATAATTTGAAAGGATTACTTACTAATCATTATTTCTAAGAATCAGTTAAGCAATTAGAAACTTTCTTTTACATCACATACCACTCAATATCAAATATTTGAATCTTTACTGTACTCTAAGATTTAATTCTTAAAAATAACATTAACTCTTGATTAATGCAAATAGTTAATGATTACGTAGGATTCTATGCTTTCCTTTCCTCATTATTCACAGTTTCTCATGTGAACTGTGTGTTCACTTGGTCATTCTTCACTTCTGATCTCTCTTAAAATGATGTTTGTGTTCTCAAGAAGACCATATGGATTTTAAGGAGAAATTTTAATAGCTCTTTAATGAAAACCTAAAAGATATGGGTTTTATTTCACTGCATAGCTCAGAGGAAGATTTTTATTTTCTTGGCAAAACTCTTAGCTGTCCTTTCCAGTCAATGAACATATGTGTGGATGAGGAATTTTCTGAGTTAAAGGCATGGAAAATGCTGACAGGATGGCAGCAGCTTTGTGTTTTTCAATAAAATGATAACTAATTTTGTTCTGTTCCAGGAAACAGCTAAAACACTGCTCTGAATCTTGCTTTTAAGGATCCTAGGAGCTCTAGCTTTCCCTCTGTTTGCTCTAATGTAGATAAAAAAATGTCATAATAGAATTACAAGGTCACAGAACATTTTGTGTAGTCTTGATAGTAAACTAAGTAGGTTTTCATCTGACTGAAGTTTTATTTTGTAAACTTGGACATGAAGCTGCTTTTTGAATTTGCAAAACCACTGAAAATTCAATCACAGAAATCCATGCTATGCAAAAAGAGGGGAAAGAGAAACTAAGCGAAATACTAATAGAGAAATCTATAGCTGACAGGGATTTTTAGTAAGACTTTTTTATAAGCAGATAATTCTAACCAATGGAACATTGGTTAGAATTAGTATCTTTAACATGAAACAACATATATGGTCAATCAGGATACTTAGAGTACTTCTTTACTGGTACAAAATATGTTGCCTTCCAGAGCTGTTGCCGCATTTTATTAATGAATAATTGTAAATCATTTTAAGAATTTAAAGCTATTGGACTAGAGAAAAGCATTTTATTATTGTTATTGCTAATTTGAAATGCTAATTAGAGGCATCAGAAGAAAATAATTTGCTTCAGTTTGCTGGTCAAACCTCTTTATTGCATTAATCATTATAATAAAAATATTATTTTACGCTACAATGTAGTACTTTGCAGACAAGGTTTATTCAGTTCACCTGGGTTGAAAATGGCACTGAAAATTAAGCTTGGTTTGGGGTTTTTGAGAGTCACATAAAAAAAGTCATATGCAAATTACAAAGTAAAACTTACTTGGATAAAGGAGTTTTCTGGCAAAATATTTCAAAGCCAGTATCTACCATCAAAATACTTTTTCAAGTTACTTGGCAATTCTAAAAGGAGGGAATCATCATTCCCAAGTTAGATTTGACATCCTGCCTCTATCCTCGATGAAGGTGATTAATACCTAACTTGGGCACCTGCTCTGAATCACCTGGATTGAATGTGTTTATTTTACCAATTACAAAAGAAGACCTGACCAATGGCTCAGTTTTAGATTGGATGATGGATAACTGTGGTTTAATGAGTCCTATCATTTTTGTTTCTAAACTTCTGGGGTAAAAAAAAAAAAAATGGAGGAGATGATCAAAGATTAATCCTAATCCAAAATTCTAGTGCATGAAATGTCTGATGCTTCTGAAAGTTCTGGAAAAGCTGTTTCACTGTAAGGTTTATGTGAGGTTTGAAATTGCAGACTAGGGGATTATTGATGTTTTACTAATGAAAGACATAACTTGTATGTAATTCTGATTTGTATTTTTGCATATTTGTTATTGTTAGCTATAACGCTGCAAAGAATATGTAAGTCTTTACACTTAAGATACATCAAAGTATTATTTCTTTATTGTAAAACTGAGAACTGTTTTTAATTAGCCCAAGTTAAATGCAATACAATGCTTTCATTACACATAGCACATCACTCAAGTGGATCTAGTTTGCTGTATGTTTTTGAAATGAAATTCATTTCAGTAAATGTCTAGTGCTGAACTATTTAATATCAAATTTCAATGGCGATAGAAAAGAAACTAGAAAAAATACTAGACCAAACCCTCTGATAAATTATGTTATGTGGGGAAATTACAGTTTCTTGAAATTTTTCTGTTTTCTTTTCTTGCTTCTCCACAGTATTGCCTATTTAGTAATCAGCTATGGTAGCAAAGTATTTCTGAAGCATTTGTTTCTTTCACTTAAAAAAAGTAATGCAGCTCTTGGATGAAACTAGATTGGAAAATGCACTAAAGGAGTGCAGTGCATGTAATTCAGCGTGTAGTGTTCAATCTGCATTTGGGACCAATTTAGTTCTCATCAAGGTGAAGACCTCTGAAATCCATATATTATGCCCTAACTGTCAAACTCCACAGTTCTGTTCTTAATGCATTGCAATACTTGCTAGTATGGTGTGAATTGAAACAAAGATTTTTTGTTTGAGACAGGACCTCTGCTTTTCTTCCAGATTTTGTCTTTTACCTCTGCAGCATAGGTTTCATGGGATTTCCACATTTAGAAATTCAGAAATTTATTAAAGCAAGAAAAGTCAATGTCTGATGGAAGCACAGAAACAGATTATTGATTTGTGAATATAGTTGTTCTGGCAGAAAATATTTAATCTAACAAAACTTGATTTTTTTTTCCTCAGGAAAGAACAGTAACGATCAGAAGACAAACTGTAGGAGGATTTGGATTAAGTATAAAGGTAGGATGATTTTTTTGGTCTGTTATTCCATGTTACGCAAAAGTTGTCTTCATATAGTCAATGTTACTTTTAATGAGGACAAACTGTATTTTAAAGGACTAGAAACAAGAGACCAAACGTATTCTAGTATATTATATACTGCCACAGTAGGCAACCAGCAACTACGCTGCCCTATGTAATGGAAGACAATGGAAAGTTCATTCCCTTAAGATTCAAGCTGACCAACTCTGTAATAAGATTTGGTATAAGAGTTGAGAGGTGTTTTCAACTGCACAGACTGTACTTTTTTCAGCAGCACTCTAATTTGAATGCTTATTAATGAATGCTTAATTACAGCAGCAGGCACATGGAACAGCCAATAAGTTCTTCATCAATTCTCCTACAAAGAATATCACGTTAATTCACTGCAATTCATTAGTAGGACAGAAAGTGTTATTGCTTGCTCATATGGTTTATTTTGCTGCAGATCAAGCAAAGATGGCAATTTATCATGTTACCATGTTTTTTGCTTTCTTCAGTAAGATTCAAGAATGTATATAAGCATAGGTAACCCTTTTCTGAGATAGGGAGGGATGAGAGGGAGAAAGGGTTAATAATTTTTGTCGTAATAATCTATGATTTTGAAAACCATACCTTACCTTTGAATCTGAATGTAGACAACACAAGATTAATTTTATCTTCTAAGCACAGCAGTCCTCAGTCTCAAGATAGCAATGGAAAAAATGAAATGTACTTCACATGAATGCAGAGGCTTAAATTATGCATATAAAGGGAAAGTATAGATTTTCTTCTGAACATCTGCTAGTACTTGCCTTATAAGGGACTCATAAGAAGGATTAATGTGCATTTGTGTTGTCATCGATAAGAATATTGCTGAATAGAAATACTAATTTTTAAATGTGTCTTGGTATGCTTGCTATTAGTTTGTTGACCCATGAAGACCTCTATTCAAGGAAACCTTCTTGCTATTTTTTCACCAAAGTTTCTCATCGGTTTGGTCAACAGCACCTCCGTTATCATTATAGGTTATAGTTCACTGAATAACGATGAAGTAATGCATGTCAGTGTAAAATCAAGTGCATGGGTAAATGAGGTTTTACTTAGCTGGTATTAAGAAAAAATGGGTTACATTAAGAAGTTTTTATGTTTGGAGGGAAAATCTCCAGAGTCACTAAACCTGATTTTTGTACCGTGGTATTACTCTGCTCTCCATTGCTGGCAAAATCCTGGCAAGAATACTCTTGAACAGACTAATACCTGCTATTGCAGAAGGAATTCTACCTGAAAGCCAATGTGGTTTCAGAGCCAACGGGAGTACCACAGACATGGTATTTGTCCTCAGACAACTGCAAGAGAAGTGTAGGGAACAGAACAAAGGTCTCTATGTAACCTTTGCCGACCTCACCAAGGCTTTCAATACTGTGAGCAGAAAAGGTCTATGGTAGATTTTGGAACGATTAGGTTTTCCCCCTAAATTCCTTAAAATGATCATCTTACTTCATGAGGATCAGCATGGGCAAGTCAGATATGGCAACACACTTTCTGAGCCCTTTTTAATTAAGAATGGTGTGAAACAAGGCTGCGTTCTCGCTCCTACCCTTTTCACAGTCTTTTTCAGCATGATGCTCCAAAGGGCCACAGCAGACCTCGATGATGAAGATGGCATCTACATTCGATATCGTACTGATGGAAGCCTATTCAATCTAAGGCGTCTGAAGGCCCACACCAAGACCTTAAACCATCTTGTCTGGGAGCTGCTTTATGCTGATGACGCCGCCCTTGTCACCCACACAGAAGTAGCCCTGCAGCGTTTAACATCCTGCTTTGCAGACGCTGCTGATCTTTTTGGGCTGGAAGTCAGCTTAAAGAAGACAGAAGTCTTCTATCAACCTGCACCTCAGGAAGTCCCCCATCATCCCCACATCACCATTGGCCAATCAGAGCTTAAATCAGTCCAGCAGTTTAATTACCTAGGTAGCCTCATCTCCTCAGATGGCAAGATTGATGGGGAGATAGACAACAGGTTAGCAAAGGCATATAGTGCCTTCGGAAAACTCCATAAAAGAGTTTGGCGTAATAAACACTTGAAGAAAAGTACCAAGATCAGTGTTTACAAAGCCATAGTGTTGTCTACTCTCTTATATGGTTCCGAGTCATGGGTCATCTACCGCCACCACCTGGGTCTCCTAGAATGCTTCCATCAACGCTGCCTCTGAACAATCCTAAACATCCACTGGTCAGATTATGTGACCAATGCATCTGTTCTAGAACAAGCAGCTGTCACAAGTGTTGAGGCCACGTTGCTGAGAACACAGCTGCGTTGGGCAGGGCACGTCTCCAGGATGAAAGATCACTGCCTCCCTAAGATCCTGCTTTATGGTGAACTTGCCACTGGCTGCTGCAAGAGAGGAGCCCTGAAGAAAAGATACAAGGACTCCCTGAAACAACATCTCAGCCTTGGCCATATTGATCATCATAACTGGTCTACTCTGGCCTCAAATAGGGAGGCCAGGAGACACACCATCTATAACGCAGCCGTCTCCTTTGAGAACACACGCAGGATCACTCTCGAGGAGAAAAGACAACGCAGAAAGAATCGTGTCTTGCAGAATACACCACCTAAAGAGTCTTTCTGCTGTGCCTTTTGCAATCGGATATGTCTGTCTCGTATTGGCCTCATAAGCCACCAGCGTGCTTGTAACAAACGTGGATAGAGCCTTCCTAAATCTTTGTTCATGAAGCCTAACCATGATGATGACATTTTAGAACTAAAATTGCTACAATTTAGAACTGAATTGTTACCATTTAGAACTAAAATTGCTGACAATTTCAAGATCACATTTTCAAGTGTTATGTACACTGTATGAAATAAAATATAATTGAGAAATATAAATTAAATAGTGAATGTGCAATGGTCTTTCTTAAATTAGTGGAGCGAAATACTCTTAAATTTTTAGAGCAAGATATCAATTTTCTAGGATTCATAGATATTTTGATCAAAATTAATCTAAGTAGTAGAAAGGTGAAGATATGTAAATTCAGGTGCAAGTAGACAATTTTTAATTTTTTGAATAATTAACAATCAAGTGATGAATCCCTTCAAAAATGTCATTAAATAGAAAAGAGATGTCTTTTTAACAAAGGAAACTCAAACTTACTTGGATGGCATAGATTAGATAATGAAAATGGTGAGTTGAATTCTATGGTCCAGGATGTTCTGTCAATGTGTGTTAGCCAGTATGATTTATTACGTTAAATTATTTTTTAAAAATCAGTTAATGTGGGACCTTCTTTGCCAGATCCTTTTATTAGTAATTCTACATTCTCACAAAGAAATATTAACAAAAAATTGGAAGCCAACACAAATAATTAATATAATCTGTAATAACAGATTATATTGATATACATATTATATATATAATAATAATAATATGATGGTGATGATATTTATAAATAATTTTAAGTTAGTTGTAAGAAATAACTTAGAACTGGAACTTAAAGTCATTTTTTTTTAGTTTAGTAGGCAAACTTTATGAAGGCTCACTGAAGTGGGCTTTTTAGGTATACCATGAAGTGTCAGTGTCAGTTCCAAATACTCTGAAAAATGCTAGTTTTCTGTGTAAAATGTGTCATTCAAAAATGGTATGCTTCCTAATGAATATGAATACTACTTTGTTTTGTTTTGTTTTGGAAGATTCCTGAACTTCAATGAAGAACTCGTATTTGTTATTAGTTTTAAATAGAAATGTTATTAATTTGAAATAGTGCCTGAAAGTAGAGGTCTACAAGTCATCCTGTAGGAGTGAGAGGGATTGAGGCCTCTCCTCCTTGTGTCAGTAATTCCCACAGCCTCATGAACTACAGTCGTTTCTGTTGTCTTACTACCCTCAGGCTATTTAAAGATGGGGGTTATCTGAGGACTTAATTTCTGGCTGTGGTGTATATCAGAGGATGCAGTTTATCTGAGGTGTTAATTACAGCAGTACCACGATTAATGACCCTCACTTTAGAATACTTGCTTGTTTGTTACGATTTTGTCTATATTTGGCATTCAGTTCTAGGGCACTATGATGCTTTTTTTCTGCTAACTTAAACACCCATTTGCTGTCAGATATCTCACATGATGAAGACACCTTTTAAATTTTTTCTCGTGTAAATTTTGGAAGTGTCTTATCCCACCTTAAGTATTTTGGAGCCTTGGAATTTTTTTTTTTTTTTCTGAAGAGCAGAAGGACAAATTTTTAATAATTCCAAGATGAAACTATCTAATTTTTTTTTTTGCTTGTCTATGAGAGAAAATCTCTTCTCTTACAACTGGGCATTCCAACTATATTTATAAAACTCACAGATTCAGCTAACTGCTTAAAAAAAACCTACTTGTGAGCTTGACTTTTGCACAAGATGGAAACTTCAGTCCTTTAAAAATTACTTCTAACCCAATCTTTTAAGGTATGTTTTGCTCTACTTCCTTCTACTGAAGTGAATGGTAAAACTGTGCTTGTATTTGAAGCAGAACAGATCTGTTTTACACTCTTTTGAAAGAACAATTTTCTTATTTCTGAAGCCTCTTGATAAACATTTGTATGTGAAAGAATAGCCATGGAGATAGATGTAAAATTTGGTAAGCATAGCGTGGTATTTCAGTAATTTGTCTCATCTCTGACTAGTTTGAGATGCAAAGCTTTGACAAAAGATGCTGCTAAGTGTATGACTTTTGAAAGAAAACCTTGTTTTCCAATAACTGGAGTATAGCATTCTTGCAGAAATAGGCAAAAAATTTGATAGTTCATTAAAAAAATGAAGGTTTGTTGTTAACGTATGGCTACCAGGACTCAGTACAGTGCAATTTTCCTGCCTCTGTTTTGATCATTCTCTTTAAATGATGAACAGAATCACAGATCTGCTGAGATTTAGTTTGACTTTTCAATATGACTTGATCAAAAAAATCTAGTGGCCATGGACCTTAAGGCTATTTTTGTTAGTGGAAATACTGCCTTTTAGTATCAAACATCCCCTACATTGTTTAACTCTAATGACAATAAAGTCCAACAACTGGTCTAATTTTTTTAGGCTCTGCTTAGACTCTGATTTTCTGTCTCTGCTTAGGGAAAAAAAAAAAAAAGATTATTTTCTTTTTATACTTAGAGCCAGAAAAAACCCCACCCTTTGTCAATAAAAGTTACTAGTTTCCGTTGTTCTATTTTTAATATGATAAAAACTTCTGAAAAATAACTCTCACACATAAAAACTGGGATAAGAAAAAAATCTTTAGGAGTATATTATATGACACTTTGAAAAGAGGTGTGGGTGACCTCTTACCAGTAGTGGCCAACATCCAGAACAGTAAGCTTCAAACAGCTGCCAGTGATTAGAGCTTCCTCTTCTAGTAGGACCACCTCCACAGGTGGGCAGTTAGCATTATTCCAGGTGTATCTTTTCCTGCTTAAAGAAAAATGACCAAGAAAATCCGTGTGAGAAAGATTGATGTTAGATTCTCACAGAAGTCTGAGCCATTAAGTCTTCAACACCATTACCCGATGTATTTTTGTCCCTCTTCTGGTCTGAGGTTATAACTATGTGTCCATACTGGAGGGAGGGAAAATTTAAAGCAATGGAGAAGTCTCTTCTGTTCCCAGTGGTTTCTTCAGAGGAGTATCTCCTGAGTCTATAAAACCAGAATTTAGACACGCATACACTTTTTCCTCCTCAGGACAGAGAAGAATGGAGAATGCAGGATGCAAGACTGCAGTGTCAATCTGAAGTAGTATTCAACAAGATGGCAAAACATGCTTGAACTCTTGCTATGAACTGCTGACAGTGACTGGGTAGATAGGTGGTTAGCTATTTTCTATTTTCCATTTTGATTTTTTATTTCTTAGAATAGTGGGAAATACCTCCTATGGCTAATTTAAAAACACACCTTCATACTGATCAGACTGTGATGCAGTGAGAAGAGAGAATTTTCTTCAGTTAGGATACTGGTGAAAGCTTCTTCAAATCTGCAATGTAAACAAATTTAGGTAGATATAATAAAATGAGACAGGAGTAATCATGCTGTGTGCATTGCAGGCTGGCTTAGTAATAACAGTAATTTCCCTCTTTACTGGAGAGCTGAATCTAAGGAGGGAGGCCATTTTACTGAGAAAAAAAAGACCTGTGTTAGCTATGCAGAGCTTTAAACTCTACACTTCTTTACTGGGCTTTAAATATCCTGGATAGTGCAACATCTGTGTAACAATGAAAGCTTAGGAATGAAATGACACAATTATTTCTCTGTTTGTTTGAAAAATTTGGAAGAAATTAATTGTGCATGTGACTGAAAAATCTGGAGTATATAGGTTAAAGTCTTATAAATTTGGTGAGCTTGAACTGATTATCTTCAGCAAAGCAAACTTTCAGTGTTGCTGAAAGTTGGTGAAAACTACTGAATGATATTCAACAAGCCATAATGCTACAATCTAATCAATCTGAATACATCTCTCAGCCTGACTGAAAAGAAGGTAGCCTCTGGTCTTTGTGAATACTCAGTCTGTGCTACAAATATGGATATGTTCTGTGCTTGTCAACACTCATCCCAAGCAATGACAGTAGAACTTTTCCTGTAGACGTATAATTATTGTAATATTACTAAGATCCCTCTTGACTCAATGTTTTTAGGACTATTTGCATTGATAGCCACTAGCAGAAAGAGCATTAATCCTATTTAAGATTCTATCGTTTCACAGGACATTAATCTTTATTCCATGACAGAAATAGGTATTGAGTACAAGACTGTTCACTTTCAAACAATTGGCTATTGTACAAAGAAGGGATGTGTGCTGTTCCTTAGACCATCAAAACACCCATGTCAGTCCTTTCTACATCTCGACCTGGACCTGAAAAAGCCGTTATTTCCAAAGTAAAATCTGGCTGCTGAAGAGAAGAGTAAGCAAACCCTTTACCAGGATTCCTAAACAAATTAACACTGTGGCAGAGTGTAGCTTCTGATGATCAGGATTTGTAGAAGTTGCATTCAAGCTCACACTTTGATGCTCTCTGCAGAGGAAAAACTATTTCTTTCTCTGTGTATATTTGCCTTTACCTTCCTTTGAATTTCTTCTTCATTTGAAATTTATTTTTATTACTTTATTCTTAAGAACCATAAATGTTTCCAGTCCCAACAGGATAAATTGAATGAAGTAACAGCATTGAATTTTTGTCAAACTGTTGAGTTATCATCCATTTTTTCTTTATTTCTCCCCATTTATTGAATACCTACTGTTCCTTCTCTTAATGTTTCTTTTTCTGTTCCTTGTTACTTATGGCACTGCTTCCTTCATTCTTTGTGCTTGTGGATAGAAATGGAAACAAATAAAGGCCGCTTTTGAGATGAAAAGTCTAAACCTTCTTTCTTGCACTTTTGTTTACCTGTTTCTTGCCAGCATGAAAACTAAGTGGTCGCAGCATGGTTGCCATTGTAGGGGGATGGCCATTCTGCTTTTACAGGACACAATTTCATACACTAAGCTCTCAAGAATTCAGATAAACTGATGTCCTTTTTCTTCAAGTCTTGTAGGGTTTGAATTAATTTCCTGAGTTAATGATGGCAACCAAAAATGTCTTTATGAGAGGCAATAAGGAATTATTCACAATCAAATATTCATTAAAAAAAAGGAAATGCAGAATCTCAATCTCTCTAACAACGGCATTTAATGAAAGAGCAAAATATAATTTTAAGCAAAAAAAATATTTTTAGTGACTGACAAGAATGTAATTTATTCTGTTTTCAGGGTGGAGCTGAACATAATATTCCAGTGGTCATTTCTAAGATTTCCAAAGAACAAAGAGGTGGGTATCAGCTTAGTGCACTGTGTTTTGATGTGCCTGTTAAAGCAAGGTTTATTAAGTTTTGAGATTCTTCAGTCAGTGTTAAATGTACGCTATTGTTCTCTTCCATGTCTTTATGATCTCTCTCTTCCTCCGAACTTTTCTCTGAAAAAGTATAGAATTAATATTTGGAATATTCGGTAAAGTATTCCACTTTATTTTTTTTTAAACAGGTTCTCATAAAGCATTATTTTTAAGGAGAGAAACAGGAAGGTATTTATAGAGTGAAGATGTTTAAAAAATTTAACAAAAAATAATGATTTTGTGGCATTCACTTCCAGTAGTTATTTTCAGGAAGCTGAAGAAGATCGAATGTTTGGCTATTAAATCACGGTAACATGGGAGGAGAATGCATGACTTTTTAAACTGGTTAGTAGGGTAATATTGGGACAGGGGTTGCTAATGGCAGAACCTTGATAATACCCTTTTGTTATTTCAGCAATAGAAATAATACTGAATTGTGTAAGCCTTTGCAGCCACTCATGTAGCAAAACTGGTACTGCCTAAAGTCTTAACCATAATTACTTTTAATACAAACAGAACTGGTGCTGAATCTCTGTAGTGTTTTTAACTGGCAATGTTTTGAAATTATTGGGATGATATATGGACTAGGAACATGGGTAATAGTTAAACAACTCAAGATGTGCACAGTTATGAGAGAGGAAGGTTGTGAATCAGTACTAATATGGTGTATTTAATATCTCTGTCATGTTTGTGTGTATTTGTGTATATTTGTGTAAGGCCAGAAATGTAAACTCAGAAGCGTTTCCCTCCATCTGTAATGCAATAATTCTAGGATGTTGCTTCCCCACAATTAAAATGTGCCAGCATTAGGAAAATCTCATATTTATCCACACAGATAAAGGGAGGCATGGAAGAATCAGTGTATTGAGAACTGAAAGCCAACTCTGAAAGGCAGGTGTGAAAGTTGCATGTAGGAAGGCTATGGGATAGCATGGAATGAGCCTCTAAGGAAGGCAATAAGGTTTACCTTAAGTTATACTTGTGACTACATTCTTTTCAGTATGCATATAAGTAGATAATATATAAAAATGTGGCATATATTGCCTATGGTGGCTATTGAAATACTGTTAAGCACTTCAGAAAATATAAGCAAGATAGACTTAAGTTTAATTGAGCACACAGAAATGCACAGGTTTATTTTTGTGGTTTTTTGCTGCAGTAGCTGATGCATTATTTCTAGCCTCAATACGTAGCTGAGATATAATCTTCATTACTCCTTTCAATAAAAATACTGCTGATTTTCAGAGAGCTAGTTTTGAGGGACATCTCTTGTGTAGGAGACTGTCTTGTGATGTGGAAAGTGTACTAGGGAACTTTGATACAGAAAATGCTGTTTGACCCAAAGCCTATACCTCAAAATTTTGCAGGCTTGCCTCTGCCCTCCTCCCAGTTGCTTTCAGGTCTTTCTTTGGACCTCTAAACAAGAATCTGACATTTGATGCAATTCTTAAAACTAGTGATGTACATAAGGTGCTTAGGCTAGCACATTAGGTCTCATATATGAAATGTTACCAAATGCAAGCCCAGTGTCTGAAGAAGAATACTGAGATATGTATTTATTGAAAAAAAAAAGAATAAATCAGAATGTCTATTCTACAATAATTTGAGCATCCTTCAAACACAGACTTGAGTATCATAATTCATGTCAGTATTGGTTCCAGTTTTACAACTCAGAATCACAGAATATACCAAGTTGGAAGGGACCCAAAAGGATCATTAACTCCAACTCTTAGCCCTGCACAGAACCATCCTCCACAGTCCCACCATGTGCCATGAGAATCTTGAGAATCTTGTCCAAATGCTTCTTGAACTCTGTCAGGCTTGGTGCTGTGACCACTTCCCTGGGGAGCCTGTTCCAGTGCCCAAACACCTTCTGGGTGAAGAATCTCTTTCTGATATCCAGCCTAAACTCCCCTGACACAACTTCAGGCCATTCCGTCAGGTTTTGTCACTAGTCATCGGAGAATGAAGAGATCAGTGTCTGCCCCTTCTCTAACCCTCAAGAAGAAGTTGTAGACTACCATGAGGTCTCCCCTCAGCCTGATCTTCTCCAGGCTGAACAGACCAAATGACCTCAGCTGCTCCTCATACGGCTTCCCCTCAAGGCCCTTCACCATCTTCATTGCCCTTCTTTGGACACTCTCTAATAGCTTTATATTTGTTTTATATTGTGGTGCCCAAAACTGCACATAATATTCAAGGTGAGGCCTCTTCTAATTTGTTGAGGTCTCTCTGCAGGACCTCCCTGCCTTCAAGAGAATCAACAGCTCCTCCCAGTTTTGTGTCATCTGCATACTTGCTGAGTATCCCTTCTACTCCTTCATCCAAATAATTTATGAAGATGTTGAAGAGCACAAGGCCTAATATGGAGCCCTGTGGAATCCCACTAGTGACAGGTTATCAGTCTGATGTTACCCCATTCACTCTTACCCTCTGTGCCTGTCCCATGAGCCAATTCCTCACCTACTCCATGATGGGTTTATTTGGATATTTTGTGTTTAGCTGGACATTTTGTCCAGAAGGTTTCTGTGAGAGACAGTATCAAAACCTTTACTGAAATCCAAAAGTATTACATCAACTGGCTTTCCTTGATCAGCTGGGTGGGTTACCTTGTCATAAAAGGAAGTCAGGTTTGATTAAGCAGGACTTCCCTCTCATGAAACTGTGCTGGCTGTGACCAATGACTGTGTTGTCTTTCAAGTGTTTTTCTACATCTCCCAGAATAATCTTCTCCATAATTTTACCAGGCACTGAAGAGAGACTGACAGGCCTATAATTTCCAGGGTCATCCTTCTTCCTCTTCTTGAAGATCAGGACAACATTCACCAGCTTCCAGAATCCCAAGTTTGCTCAAAAATCATTGAGAGAGGTTGTGCGATGACATCAGCAGCTCCTTGAGGATTCTTGGATGAATTCCATCAGGCCCCATAGATTTGTAGGGATCCAACTGAAGCAACGGATCCTGCACAATTTCAGGGTCAACTGGGAGTAGATCATTCTCACAGTCATGGTCCTCCAGCTCAGGACACTGGGCTGGAAACCCCTTGGTCTGTCATCTGTCATCTGAAGACAGAGGAAAAGAAAGTGTTAAACACCTCTGCCTTGTCTCTCTCCCTGTTTGTGAGGTGACTGTTCTCATTCTGTAATGGGCCAATGATATTTCTGTCCTGCCTATTGCCATTAATATATTTGAAAAAACTTTATAGTCCCCCACATTTCTGGCAGCTTCAACTCCAGCTGAGCTTTGGCCACACGAATTTTCTCCCTATGGCAGCAAGCAGCATCCTCAAATTCTTCCCATGTCACTTGACCTTGCTTCCACTGGGCATACAACTTTCCCTTTTTGGCCCTTTTCCAGGAAAAAATCCCTGTTCAACAAAGCTGGCCTTCTGCCTTGCCTGCTTGACTTCTGACATTTCAGAGTTGCCTGTTCACCATCCTTAGGATGTGATGTTTAAAATGTGACCAGCACTGGTGGACCCCAGCAGCTGCAAAACCTTTCCTCAGGGGACCTTACTTACTAATTCCCTGAGCAGCCAGAAGTCTGCTCTCCTCTCGCCCAGAGCTGAGGTTTTGCTGGCACTTTTCCTCCTGTCACTGTGCCCAAATGGCCACCAATCTCCACTTTGCTCATGAGATCCACTCTGCTGACAAGCAGCTGATCAAGGAGGGCATCTTTCCAAGTCAGCTCCTTTAGGATCTGTTCCATAAAGTTGTCATCCAGGTTTTTTAGGAATCTTCTGGCCCAGGTTGAACCAACTGTGTGATGCTCCCAGTTAATTTCTAGCAAGTTGAAGTCCTCCATAAGAACAAGGGCAGTTGACTTTGGAGTATCCCTTAGTTCCTCAAAGAACAATCATTGGTGTCATTGTCCTGGCTGGGAGGTCTATAGCAGACTCCCACAGTGACATCCTCATTATTTGTTTGCCCCTTGGTTCTTACCCAGAGGCTCTCAACTGTGCCATTGCCAACTGTGAACTCTATACATTCTAACCGTTCTATTACATACAACACCATCCCTCCACCTCTTCTGCCCTCATGGAAATAAGTAAAGTTTTTGGATCAAGCCCAGTTCTAGTCTTTCCCAGACAGTATCTTCTGGAATGATATGCAATACTATAGGTAAATAATCACATGTAATCTGTTAACATTCCTTAGTTCCCATGTTAGGGAATATTAATTTCTTTATAGACACCTAAATAATCTTTCTTATACTTCTGGTATGCTTACAAAGTATAGTTCTATCAGGTAGCTCTGAAACACAACACAATATTTAAAAATTGCAACTGTAGATTTTGTAAATGTCTTTGTGATACAGTTTTGTTTTAAAAATCAAATTCAGTTTGGCTGTTGATTTTGCACAATATACTGATTTTCTAGCTCTTCAGCATATAAAATATTATTCAAAATGAATACTCCATGTTATTTATAGAGTTTATCAAAGATGCAGGATCTAAAGGATCTTTTATCTTTGCTAAAAGCCTACAATTTAAATTAGTCGTTCATAGGTAGCTCTGGAGTCTCCATGTTGCTTTTTTTCAGTTTGTTAGAAATTATTTCTCACAGGCAAATAAGACCTAGTCCTGTAGTAATTTTCTATTCAGAATAGTATACTATACCTCACTACAATGGCCTGAGGGTACTAGTGACTGATGGACTGTTTCATAGTCTTGTGCTTAGGCTGGATAGTCTCTTTTATTATAATACTGAAATGCCAGTATTTTGAGTTTAAAAAAGAAAATGCAAATAATTTATTTTTTTGTTTGGTTCTATATTAGGTTTTTGTTTTAACTTTTAAGAGATTATGTAAAAACATTAAATTAAATTAGAATTCATGTACACAAAATATAGGATGTTTTGTACAAAGTGAGTGAAAAATATGCTTTCTGTTTTCAGCTGAACTTTCAGGTTTACTCTTTATAGGAGATGCAATTCTACAGGTGAGTAAAATTGAAAATTATTTTGTTTGTATTTTTCTAGAAATGTGATATGAATTCTATACTTATGAAATGTAGAGTAAGTCTTCTCTTTATCTTTTTAATAACAGATTAATGGAATTAATGTGAGAAAATGCAGGCATGAAGAAGTGGTGAGCGTTTCTGTTTTTTAGTCTACTTTTTGTCATTCATAGTTACTGAGATGATAGTGTACCCTGATAGCAGTGTGGTGGTATCACTTGAGTTAATGTAACTCGTAAACAAATATGACTGTACCTTCTAACATGACAAACAAAAAAGTTTGTAGTGCAATCTCTTCTTCCTAATTTTGTGTACTTGCTCTTCTCAGATAGGCTTTTCTAAATTAAAGGTCATTGCTTTATTATGAAGATTTGAGTTGTATATATTCCAGCATTTCTTCTTCTGGCTTATAGCTGTTAAATTTCAGCAGTGCTACACCTTTCTGGCTGTGTGAGGTCATTTTAATTTCAAAAGCTGTAATTTGTACTGTGTTGGAGATTTGTTGTTTGGTTGGTTTTAATCCTATTTTAAAAATTAAACAAAACTATTCATCTGCCTTTAGTTCTCTGGCTTTTAGTTACGAGGGATGCTGTCCTCATTCAGTTAAGCTGTTATTAATAAGGGTTTAAAATAACAGTGTATTAAGAAGATTTCTTCTAGAGAAGCCATATGTATTTGGGAGGTCTGTAGTAGGCTGGTTCCATTGGTATGTCACCTTTGCTAAATGTATCATGTACTTCTGTTATACTTGACTTTTTGACTCTTCTTAAGTACTTTCAGAATGAGGAAACCCTATATTTCAGAAAATAATGCCAGAAAGTAGAAGATTACCAAAGAAATTACCTTGAAATCCTGTGTAGCTCCATAGAATTTGTATCTTAATTTTTAAGATAATGGGATAATGTTATATTTGAAAGGTTATCTTTCTAAAGCTTACTTTGCCAATTCAAGGACGCTCTGTGTTTCATACGGCATTCTGCTACGTGCCACTTCATTGAACAGACGTCGTTTGCGTTTAGAAAGCAAGAGTTAATAAAGATGAAGTTCTCATAAACAAGTTAGTGCAGGCTGAAAGATTAGATCACTGCACTATTCTTCAGAATGCTTTTGCACACTTATTTCCTTTTGGAAATCTATACTACAAATTGTGCTTCCTTCTTCGGAGCCTTCATCACACCCCCTTCCGTATGTACTGACTAATAGTCGTATTTATATTCATATTAAGTTTTTCCTGTGCAATAGTGATCAGATTTTAAGTATTTTATAAGTTTACTGGAGCTTGTTTGTTTAATATACATTAATATGGCAAATCTCTCAATGGGATTTAAATAGGCTGTTGAAATTACAAGACATGAGAAAAAGATACTACTGGAAGTGTAGCCTTGAACACTCAAATGCATATTGAAAACTGGTAAGAACACCATGATTTTATTTTTTGTTTGCTGAGACAATCTCTTAACCATTAAAATTCTCAATGATCCTTGTGGGCCCCTTCCAACTCATCATATTCTGTGATTAGTTAATGCTTGTGGACATTCTGTTGTCTTTATTGTCTTTGATTACTTTTGATACAAATGATAGATAGACTGATAGACTACTCTCATAAGACTAGATAGGTAGGTTTAGTCAGTTCTTAGTGTATTTTACTGGAAGCCTTTACACAGTTCCTTTTTGATTTTTTTTTTTTTTAGCTTTAGATGGATCACATAATCTTGAGCCTAGTTTTCTGCTTGTAGAAGGTGAAAATATTTTTCATACCATGAAAGCACATGATTAGTTTCTATCAAAGACTGACTGTCAGCTTGTTCTTTGTCTTGGGTTGTAAAGACTCCCATCTGAGTGCAGCATCGCATTGCTTAAGTCTTAGTGCTCTCCTATGGTAAGGTAAATACATGCTCTCTGTGGTGAAGTATCAGCGTGGGAGGAGGTTGCAGGGAAAAAATAAACTTGAAATTCTCCTAAAAAAATATCTCTCAGCATCACACTGGCAGTTTTAGTCCAAAAAATGCAGTATGAACTTGAATGTGGAGGTTAGGAAAGTCCATTATATCTGTTAAAATACATGACTTTGTGCTCTTTCTGCTCTGGATTTATTAATTATTCTTTTTCCAGTAAACTCTCCTTTACATTTTACAACAAGACTCTTTAAAGGCTGAAATTAGGTTTATTCAAAAACACATCTTAGAGTTTAGGCTTCTATCTAAGTAATAAGGTCCAAAAATGCATAGCATGTTAATCCATACACCTAGTCTTTTAAGGGCTTATAATGGATATAATTATTCTTAAGGCTGGAAACTAATTTATTTGTAGTCTGGAAAATAATGTATCTCTAGATTTTCCCTCCATATACTGTCCAGACATAAAGATAGGTAGGCAAGCACCAACATAGTGCTGTTATGTGGACATTTTTGGTCGTTCTAGATCTAGCCACTACACCACTAACAATAGACAAGATTTTGGGAAAGAAAGAGAGGCCGTGCTGTGAACTACTTCCCTTGTGCTAATACTGAGTGGTTCAGAGTAGGAGAGTATGAGTCAACTCATTTACATACTATCAAAAACCTTGTGTTGGATCTATTGCTCTTACTGTTTCCAGGGTGGGGCCCCCCGGTGGTCTAGTGGTTAGGATGCAGCGCTCTCACCGCCACGGCCTGGGTTCGATTCCCGGTCAGGGAACCCCTCCGGGCAGATGGAGCTTGTCAGCCCTGTAAGGCCATCCATCTAAGAGAAGGTCACTCTAAATAAACCTACGTCCTGAGGACCTCGCTGCCACCGTCCGAGCTCGCTCGGCCCTGGCAGATGAACCTTAGGATTAAAGGGTGGGCTCAGTTCAGCGCACGCTGTGTCTCACCTAAAAAATCCACTGCGCAGGCTCGAAGGGTAATGACCTTTCCCAAATCTTCGTTCACGAAGACTGGCCATGAAGTGAAGTGAATGAACTGTTTCCAGGGTTATAGTGCACCAAATCATCTAAAGTCCATGGAGAAGGAAGAATTTCAGTCAAATGAAGGCTGATATGTTTGAGATTATGTCTCTGTTCTTAATGAATCTACTACATCTCAGGTAGTACCAACATCTATCATTACATATGTCTTTCGATCTTAGCATCTGTTTTTTTTTCTCTTAGGAAATGAAAGGAATTAAATGGCTATGGAAATGAAGTAATTTCTTATTTCTTGTATTTGGGAAAATTCAGGGAATGTTTCTAATGAAAAATGATAGCCTGCATCTGTCAGTTACTGTGACAGTCAGGCATTCCTTTAATTGTAACAGGAAAAGCTCATGTAGTGGTCGGTAGGTATATTCAGGCTTTGGTGTATTTTATGTCAAGCTACCTACAATATGTAGCACCATGTTTCAATTCAGCCATTGGTTGCATTTTGCACAAGACACCTTTTTTTCCAGCAGAATGACCTTACATGAGATGTCATGTGCACTGCATTGTATCTTTTGCTTCCCCTTTTTGTCTACATTCACAGTGGGAATATAACTGTGCCGGCCCTCCATGAGTCATATATACTATATGAATCTGACAGTATAGGGATTGTAGTTGCTTAACAGAAATTGTCTGCAGCTAATGAAACTCCTACTCTGACTTTTCTGTTTTAAAACTGTGGTTTCATTCAAACCGATTTTTAAAACATATTATGAATAGTTTTGGCAATGTTTTTCTGAGTGGTTTTAAGCAGAACAAGGATATTGTGTTTTTTAAGACAGGACTGGAAACCAAATGATCTGAAATCTCACTCCATATTCACATCACAGAAGTGTCTTTTGGTAAATTATGTTTTTGTTATCTTTGTTTCCTTAACTGTGAAGCAGAGGCCTAGACTGTTATCAGGTTTAGCTCTCTGAATTATATGAAGCTCTGAATCTGTTATAGAAAAGGATCTCTGCATTAGTATTTTGCAGTTTGATGACAGTGGTAACAGCAACCTGCGAACACAGATTACCACCTTCTCATGCTGCAGAGATCCTGTACTGTATAACTCACAGCACAGCCATTTAATCCTTTCCCCTCTAGACTGAATGGCGACTTTAAATATTGAAGCTGCATAGTCGGTGCTTCTGAGAGAAGACCATAATCAATCTGAAGTTTTTAACTTCTGAATTTAAAAGTGAAATGTAATCCAATATTTTTACTCTTTCCATACAGCTGCTGTTTTCTATTTGAGACTTGAGTGATTAAAAAAAACGAAAACAAACTATGTCACTTTAGTGACATTACACCCTGGTGCCCTGGTGTAATTAATGAAAATATCTGTTACTGAACATCTTTACTGTTCATGAAATTTGAGCTAATAATAATCTGTTTAATATTTCAGCATCAATTTGAAATAAGTGCCAATCAAGTGGAAAAGAATCTGCAAATAGTCTACTGTTTTTTTCTGTGTAGTGGAAATTCCTTGAATTTGGATATATCCTAGAACAGTACTCTTAACATGTACTAGGCTGCTTTTCTAATCTGGTTTTAGCTATAGTTTTTTAGTGTTTAAATAATTTTTTTTTTTGCCAAACTCTGTAAAAACTTGAATTTATTCAACCACTACAATGTTAGACTTTTAAAATACATTAATGTATTGCTAGTCTTCCTAATTAATATTTTCATTCCTTTTTTCTCATGATACCTGTAGATATATTAGTCATCTTATTAAGATTTCATCTTTTAAAACTACTCATCTGTACTGCTGAGTTTTTATAGAAGGGAGTAGATTATGCTGTCATGACTAATACCAAGTTTATATGATTAATATTGTTACTTCCTTATTACATAGCTACAGTCCTCAAAGCAAAAATCCATTAGGGCTTAGTGGGATAGAGTGAAAGATTGAATCACCAGTTGTGGTGCAACATCCCTCAAATAACTGCCCTTGGTTCCTCCTTTGTCATGCAGCTTTATTAATGCTGGAAGCCTGAGCTGCAAAGAAAAGAAACAGTTGAGCAGTGGATTGAAAGTGTGTACTATCAGATATGCTTTGTTTGTGACCTTGTTTACATTGGTATTTTGTTGTAAAGCTTTGGGTTTCTCTGCTTCCTAATGAAGTAAATAGAAATGTTTTCATGTTTATTTGTACGTGTTTGTGCTTTACGCTCTAGAAGGCTTTTTGAAATATTTCATTCTGCACAGCAT